CCCATTCCCCCAACCCCCCTCCCAACTGGCAACCAACAAAATGTTCTCTGTATCTATGAGAATGTTTCTGTTCTACCTGTTCATTTTGTTTGTAGATTCCATTGTTGATAGATATGTATTCATTGCCATTTTGTTTGTTCATATATTTTATCTTTTTCTTCAAAAAGACCCTTCATCATTTCATATAATAATGGTTTGGTGGTAATGAACTCCTTTAACTTTTTCTTGTCTGGGAAACTTTTTATATGGCCATTGATTCCAAATGACAGCTTTGCAGGATAGAGTAATCTTGGTTGTAGGTTCTTGCTTTTCATCACTCTGAATATTTCTTGCCACTCCCTTCTGGCCTGCAAAGTTTCTTTTGAGAAATCAGCTGACAGTCTAATGGGAACTCCCTTGTAGGTAACTAACTGCTTTTCTCTTGCTGCTTTTAAGATTCTCTCTGTCTTGAATCTTTTGCATTTTGATGATGATGTGTCTTGGTGTGGGCCTCTTGGGGTTCATCTTGTTTGGGACTCTGTGCTTCCTAAATGTGTATGTCTGTTTCCTTCAGCAAGTTAGGGAAGTTTTCTGCCATTATTGTTTCAAATAGGTTTTCGATTTCTTGTTCTCTCTCTTCTCCTTCTGGCACCCCCAAGATGCGAATGTTGGCACGCTTGAAGTTGTCCCAGAGGCTCCTTACACTCTCCTCATTTTTGGGATTCTTTTTTCTTTTTGCTGTTTTGATTGGGTGTTTTTTGCTTCCTTATATTCCAAATCGCTGGATTGCTTCTTGGCTTTACCTACTCTACTATTGAATCTGGGTAAATTATTCTTTACTTCAGTTAGTGCCTCCTTTATTCCTGATTGTGCATCCTTCATTTCTGACTGGTCCTTTTTTATGCTCTTGAGGCCCTCACTAAGTTCGCTGAGGTTCTCACTAAGTTCATTGAGCATCCTTATAACCAGTATTATAAACTCAGTACCTGTTAGGTTGCTTATCTCCATTTCACTTAGTTCTTTTCCTGGAGATGTTTTCTGTTCTTTCATTTGGGACCTGTTTCTTTGTCTCCTCATTTTGGCTTCCTCCCTGTGTTTGTTTCAGTGTATTACTTAATGAGAGGTATGGGGCTAGCTGACACCAGATGCTGCTCGTTTGAAAGAATTTAGGAAAAGCCTGAAGCAGGATCCAAGACAGACCAATCCTATGGTTAAGCAATTGTCAACAGCTTGGGCGGGCCTGAATGTTGTGTGGGGCAGGGCCTCAGGGAATCACCAGGGCGGGGCAACCAGTGTGAGCCAGGTTGCTGGAGTCCAGATATGGAAGCTGTCTGCCACCCCAGGGAAGGGCTCACAAAAGGAACAAAGACCTCTTACAGCACATTTGTTCTGGAGAAAGCCCCCTCTCCAGCCCTCGCTCCAATGCCAAACAGCTCAGTTCTTCCCTGTATGTCTCTGGCGCCCCTCGAGCTGCCTCCCCTCCAAGCTTAGAGGGAGAGAGTCCGATAAGTCCATGCTCGGGCCCTTTAAGAGGAGCTGCCTGGGGCTCCAGCTGCCTCAGCCTCCCTGAGCCTCAGTTCCCGCTGGTTTTTCCAGCCAGAAGTTATGGGGACTTCTCTTCCTGGCACTGGAACCCTGAGCAGGGTGCCTGGTGTGGGACAGGGACCCCTCAGTACCCAGGGAGGACCTTCCCAGCCAAGGTGTCCTCCTGATTTTTATCCGTCACATGTGGGTGTGGGACCAGCCCGTCCCCTCCGCCCCTCCTACCAGTCTGGATGTGGCTGCTGCTTTAATTCCGTAGTTGTAGGACTTCCATTAGGCTCAATTTCAGGCGGTTCTGAATGATGGTTGTTCTGTAGTTTAGTTTTAACTTCGATGTGGTTGTGGGAGGACGTGCTACCGCGTTTACCTACCTGCTATCTTGACTGGAATTCTCTGAACATTTAAATTTTTTTTTATCCTCACCCGAGGACATTTCCCCATTTTTTTGTTCAGATAGAGTGGGAGAGAGAGAGAGGAAGAGAGAGAGGGAAAGAGAGAGAAACATTGACATGAGAGGACACATCGAGTGGCTGCCATCCACAGGACCAGCCAGGGCCAGGGACAAACTGCAACCGAGGTATGTGCCCTTAGCGGGAACCTAACCCGGGTCTCTCTGGACTGCAGGCTGATGCTCTAACCGCTGAACCAAACCGGCCAGGGCTGAACATTTAAATTTTTAAAGAGATCAAGCTATACTCCTCAGTTGACAGCTGATGCCCCTCATTTAAGTCGAGCCTCAACAATTCAAAAATAACCTGCTCAAAATCTACATTCACTCAGCTGCAACCACTTCCACAACCACAGGAAACAGCTCCTGGTTGGATGTGTGCGGATCTGAGAGAAGTCTTGTTCTGAGCTTGAGGAAGAACCCATCACCACTGCCTCCTTCGGCCAGTTCACATGGAAACACACCTCGTAACCAAGGGAAGCCTGAGATACAGCTCTACTGACTTTGAAGACCAGAGTAAGAGAACTAGTCAGGACTTGTTGTGTTGCAACTAAAATAAATTCAAAATGGTATAATAGGAAGGAAGAAAAGGGAGGGAGGGAGGACATGTATTAATTCACATAGAGAGCTGACCTCTTTCCCAGTTCTTCCCAGCACTTTGCCTTCTCATCTATCCAGCCTTCCACCTATGGATTACTTTCTTGCCTCAACCTCTGTTAGCCTCATTGTGTTCAGTGCAAGGGACGTGTACAGAGTTTTCTATAGATATTTTAGCACTCTCTCTCTCTCTCTCTCTCTCTCAATATTCATACATAAAACCTTAAAGGAAAATTTGGGGATCAGTCTGGCAGACTAATCAGGTGCTTATTTTCAGGCTAATCACTGGCAGTAAGAAAATGGGATATTATGATAGATTATACCTAAATTTTGAGATCTAAAAACAAGTAAAACCTCAAACAGGATATCTATAAAGACTAGAAACACAGGTCACGATACATTATGTCACCAAGCACATATTCAATCTGTATGAAAAATATTAATCCATTTTCAGACTTGTGCTTTTAAACAATGTTCATTATATAAGTAAAGGTCAAGATATGTTTGTGATCTTTGTTTTAAATCCTCACCCACGGATATGTTTATTTAGTTTAGAGAAACACTGTTGTGAAGAAACATCAATTAGTTGCTTCCCACATGTGCCCTGATCAGATATCAAACCCACAACCTAGGTATGTGCCCTGACTGAAAATCTAACCCACAACCTTTTGACGTAGGAAACAACACTCTGATGAGTCACCCGGCCAGGGCTTTGTGAATCATTTTTATCTTGCTCCTTGTTTTGTTTAGTAAATGAAACACTTACAAAAAATAAAATTATTCCTTTTATTACAAAACTTAATAATTAACAACTTCTGTGCTTTTCCTTATAAGAATAAAATAAGAACCACTTTCCTCAACCATCTCTTGGCCAGAATTAAAGGTTGATTGTGGCCGGTTCTCAGTCTGGGACTGTTCAGCTATAAACAGTGAAAGCTGTTGCGCTTGCAGCCTGCCGTATTAGAAGAGAACATTTCTTAACAGTGAAGTCTCAAAATGCTGTTGCCATCTTGTTATTTGTCCTCACTACACTGAATTCATGCTTTCAAAAACAATTATTAGTTGATCCTCGGTCTTGTGTGAGAAATTCTTTCTAATGTGTAAGCTTACTGCAGTAAACTAAGGGATGGCTAGAGATTACCCTTGGACTAAATGGTAAAAATAAACTGGAATAGAATGGACATAATTTAAGACCACTGACTTTGGTAAACTAAATTGTCTGGAGGAATAGCCACCTGGACTGTCTAGTTCTTTCCCTTTGCCTAATCATAAGGTTGACTAAGCTTATCTTCAGTGGCATCCAAGGTCACAGGCAAAGCCTCATGTTACCTCATGAAAAACAATTAGTCAAGATAATCTGGATGAGTTGTTAAACAATCTAAGAGTTTAACTTTATTCCTGGCCAAAAGTGCAAAATATATATATTCCTGGTAAAAAGTGATAAAGGAGATACTCAAGTTCTTGATCCAGATAGTAATTGCATGGTTGTGATCATTCATCTCTGTGTGCTTTTGTTTGTAAAATGCACTTCAACTATAATTTGCTAACACAGTATTACAAAATACTGAAAGTCTTTACATTGCAGTCTTTTAAAACTCTGTGTACAAAGACTTTAGGTCACAGGTCCCTTCCCCCAATCTGCATGGTCACACCTCCCATAGCAGATTTATTCTTTAGAGAAACTTAACAGAAATTGAACAGAAGAAGCTCAGGACTCTCCAGATGCCCTGGGTGAGGTGGACATAAATCTGAGAACAGAGGGATTCTGTGAAAGGACACCTACTGAGCCCGGGAATCAAGCCACCTTCCCATACTTGATTCCCAGAATGATGGCATCTGGGCATACTCTTCCCTGAGATGGGAAGGTTCTTCTTTGGAGAAACTAACCCTGAATCCGACCTAGAGAAAAAGACCAAGTCTGAAATTACTGACTTGCTGCCTGATCATCTAAAACGGTTTGTCACATTTGCCAATTCTTTCCCTCCTCAGCAATGCAATTGATTTGAACTTGGAAATTTCAAGTTCACTTAAAGCTAACAGGCGCTTGATTAACTATCTCCTCCAATTAGGATTCAGTTCCCTCCTAATAACTATTTTACTTCCTTTTCAAAATATGGGGAAAGGAACTCACCAGATAATGGCTCCAAATTTTAAAATAATTCAGTAAGAACGGTCAACTCTTGATTTTTTAGAAATTAGATATCTGAGATTAAATCAGCCCTGAACAGTTTAGCTCTATTCTTCCATTTATTTTCTAAGTAGAGAAAAGAACTGCTTCAATACCCTCTGGTGAAACAAGTCAATGGAATTTCCCCCAACAGACAGCCTGATACATACAAGTTGAAACTATAAAAAAAGTTTAGTAAATGAAGCACTTACAAAAAATAAAATTATTCCTTTTATTACAAAACTTAATAATTAACAACTTCTGTGCTTTTCCTTATAAGAATAAAATAAGATGTTCAAAACTGGAAACCAAGTAATCAGACAAAAAAACCCACATTTATTTTAATAGCTCAAAGTGCAAATACAAGTCAGTTCACATAGTTTCAAGATACATCTTTAAGTATAATAAAAACCTGATTTTCCAAAATTAAAGGGTAAATAGCAGAAATAAAGCTTTCTTTAAAAAATTCAAGAAACGTGAAGATCTTTAGACTAAAATATTCCACTTACATCAATTCAGAAACACTAATGTACAGATGCCAGCAGTACATCGGAATCCAAAAGGACTACTCAAAGAAAATCACCCCAAACTGGAGCTCAGATAAGACAGAAAATTCTTGATGCTGGCAAGTCCTGGTTTTGCAGCTTCATTCACACATCAATTGATGTCATTCAACCCACGGTATTTTAAAGAAACTCTAAAAAATGTCTAAAGTTCAATATGAGGCCAACATCCACTATTAACAGTTTTTGAAGTGGTCACTATATATTTAAAAGCTTTAAAGAGCAATTTCTACTTTAGGTCTATGGTGTTACTGGGGGCAAAGACACAGATTAATACTTCTTCTGTTACTTAAAAGGGTTATTAATATGGCCTTTAAAACTTCCCTACTTGCCAGGCTGGTGTGGCTCAGTGGTTGAACGTCACCAGTTCGATTCCCGGGCAAGGTACATGCCCAGGTTGTGGGCCAAATCCCCAGTGGGGGCATGCAGGAGGCAGCTGATCAATATTCTCTCTCATCAATGTTTCTCCCTGTCCCTAAAATCAATAAAGAAAAAAAAAATTAAACTTCCCTACTTATTCCTACACATAGAGAACTCGAATGGAAAGCAGACATAGTTCCCACTAGGAAGATAAAAGTTGTTAATTTTTTTTAATCACTCAGCAGCCATAACAGGTTTATTTCTGCTCCCTAGAAGCAATATTAGCTACTAGTTATAATTCGGGAAAATGTGTATCTTCAGGATGGCCTACATATTTATTCAGTCTTTTTCTCACTCTTCTTCATCTTTTTAGTGTAGGCAATAAACTGAGAGTCTGTTCCAAAAATTCGATCCCACCACGTAAACGTTGAAGCATAGTTTCCAATGAAGTTCATGTGGTGAAAGTCATGATGCCGAGAACCAGCATAGAAAGGGATGAAGTTCAAAGGGTTGAGAGGAATATCATAACCACTGCAATAAAAATAACAAAGATTATGAGTGAATAACTCACATTTTCATTGACAATCATATGTTTGTTAACTAATTCAAACAACATTCCACTTTACCTAAGTCACTTTATTTGATATGTTTACAAAAGACAAAAACTTAACAGAAAATGGTGCATATTCTAGAAAACACTTTAAGACATTTTTTAAAACTTAAAAAACTCTATGGAAATTATATATCAGAGGATGAAAGAAAGGGGCTGTAGTAATGAATAAATTTTTCATTAATTCTTTTTATTTTCTGTCTTAGAGGAGGCATTTTCTCACCATAGCCTATAATACCACATATGTCTGAGGGAAAGTTGCATGAAATTATTATCAGGCAGCACAAAGGACAGACCTGAGAACCACTGTGTTGCAACCTCTTTTACTTTAGTCAATGACAAGTTGGAAATAAATGTCCCAGAATTAATGAAAATACAAGTGTGCTTTCGGTAGTTGGAGGAACACGTGGTTTTTAAAAGAATACCATTTAAAGTATCCTTCCTTTTTTCTAATACACATCTAAAATCTGACAGAATTATACCAGTCCGAATCACCCCAATCTCTTCCTCTCTTTATAAGGCTGAGAGGGCCCTGGCCAGTTTGGCTCAGTGTTTAGAGCGTCAGCCTGCGGTCCCCAGAGACCCGGGTTCGGTTCCCGCTAAGGGCATGTACCTCAGTTGCAGTTTATCCCCAGCCCTGGATGGGTTGTGCGGGTGGCAACTACTCGATGTGTCCCTTTCATGTTGGTGTTTCTCTCTCTCTCTCTCCCTCCCTCCCATTCTATCTGAACAAAATATCAAAAAATGTCCTCGGGTGAGGATAAAAAAAAAACTGCTTTTAGAAGGCTGAGAGGGAAGGAGAAAGAAAAGAACAATGAAAGAAATAATGAAAGAGACATCACTTACAATTTATCTACAGAAGAATATTCTCTGCCTAGAATTAGAAGGATTGCTTTCTACTTAAAAATAATTCTTAGAATTTAAGTTTCAGCCTTCATGAGTATAGTAATAAGACCCAGGTCAAAATGTAATGAATACATAATTTTAAAATAATGAAAATGCTGACACTTTATTTTTATTTATTTATTTTTTACAAGGTGCTAAAACTAATACCATTCAATGGGAAAGACAGTCTTTTATTTATTTTTATTATTATTATTTTTTTATCCTCACCTGAGGACATTTTTACATATTTTGTTTGGATGGAGTGGGAGGGAGGGAGAGAGAGAAACATCGACATGAAAGGGACACATCGAGTGGTTGCCACTCGCACGACCCAACCAGGGCCGGGGCAAACTGCAACCGAGGTATGTGTCCTTAGTGGGAACCGAACCCGGGTCTCTCTGGACTGCAGGCCAATGCTCTAACCGCTGAGCCAAACTGGCCAGGGCAACAGGGACCCTTTTAGAGGGCAGTTTTGAAGTACCTATCAAAATTTTATTTCATTTAACCAAAAGACCTTATTCTCCCTGTAAAAATGACAAGTTGCCCTGGCCAGTTTGGCTCAGTAGTCGAGTGTCAGTCTGTGGACCAGTAAGTCATAGGTTTGATTCTGGTCAAGGGCACGTACCTCGGTTGGTCAGGGTCATGCGGGAGGCAACCAGTCAATATATCCCTCTCACGTCGATGTTTCTTTCTCTCTCCCTTTCTCCTACTCTATCTGAAGATAAACAGAAATATGTGATGAGGAGTAAAAAAAAAAAAAAGACAACAGCCATAGACAGGGATATTAGAAACACTGTTTTCTGAACTTTTATCCAATGATTATGCTCTCTTGTTTTCTTAAAAATAACAATATTAACAAGATTAAGTTCTCTTATTATTCTACTTAGATGTAAAGATAATCTATGACCATGAAAATAAAGACATTTTTGATACCTTATGCCGGAACAGAAACTAGTGCTCACCTGTGGACATCAATAGTTTCTAGCAAACGAATGGTCACCCACGCCCAAAGAAGAACTACGTGGTCACATAAAAGCATGATTCCAATGAAAAACCCAGTTCCAAGAATTAGGGTTTCCAGAGGATGTGCATATTCAGCTTCCATTCCAAATGGAGCCTAAAATAAATAGATAAGAATTCCTTAATATATTGAGATGGTTAATTTTATGCATCAACTTGGGTAGGCTATAGTGCCCAGTTGCTTGGGAAATCAATCTGGAGGTTGCTCTGAAGGTATTTTGTAGGTGTGGCTAACATTTAAATCAGACTGAGTAAAGATTAACCTTCATAATGCAGGTAGGCTTCATCCAATCAGCTGAAGGTCTTAAAAGCAAAGACTAAGGTTTCCTGAGGAAGAAGCAGTTCTTAAGACTGAAACAAAGAAGCCCTGCCTGAGTTTCTAGCCTGCTGCCCTGTGGAATTCAGATGCAAGACTAACATCAACTCTACCTCCATTTCCAGCCTGTGGCCTCCCTATAGATTTCAGACTTGACAGACCCCACAATCATATGAACCAATTCTTCCTATTTCTCTGGAGAACCCCAATACATATATTCTAATTGATTTATGAATAGTTTTATAAAATTATATTGTTTCTATACATAATAATACATCTAGCTATATATATGTAAACAATAACAATAATTCTCAAAAAAAAAAAAATTTAGTTCCTACAAAACACCAAAAGGTCTAGTAGGGATGTCCTTAAAATATCTTAATGTCTGCCCAGCTGGTGTGGCTCAGTGGATTGAGCGTCATCCCATAGACTGAGAGGTCCCAGTTCGATTCCAGTCAGGGCACATTCCCGGGTTTCGGGCTCCATCCCCAGTTGGGTGCGTGCAGGAGGCAGCCAATCGGTGTTTCCCTCTTATATCGATGTTTTTCTCTCTCTCCAAAAAATCAATAAAAATATATTAATATATATATATCTTAATGTCTTTGATAATTTTAAGATAAAGACACTCAACAATTGATTTGAACTGTAATTTTGGTTTATGCATCTAAATTTGTTCTGCTAAGAAACGGACGCTTGACTTAGCATACCAATGTACAACATAACCTAACCAATTTGACAAATCTACATCAAAAGCAGTTCCGATAAAAAATCAAAAATCACTGTTTTTAAGACTCAAAAATACAGAGAATAGACTGCTGTTCGCTAAAGGGGATGGGTGTTGGGGAACTGGGTAAAAAAGAATAAGGGATTGAGAAATACAGATGGGTAGTTACAAAACAGTCATGGGAATGTAAAGTAGAGCATAGGGAGTGTAATCAATAATACTGTAATAATGACATATGGTGCCAGGTGGTTACTGGAAATATTAAGGGGAACACTTTGTCAAGTATATGATTGTCTAACCCCTGCTATACTCCTGAAACTAATACAAAATAATACTGAATGTAAACTGTAATAAAAAAAAAAAACTGTTTTAAATCACTTTTAAAAAAAAACTTTTTCAAATCACTTTTTATTTCCACAGAAATATGGTGGAAATACATTAAAACTAAGGTGGAAACTGTTTTAGAAACTTAAAAGATGAAAAGTTTGTTGTTTTGGGGTTCCCACTTAAATAACCCTAAGACAACTATAGCTTCTATCAAACTGCCAGGTAATCAACTGCATCAGGAAAGTGCCCTGGCCACAAAAATGAGTCTCAACTATTTCATGTTTTCCAGTCTCAATTTATCATGAAATTAAGATACTAAAGGAAACTTGTAAAACTGACTATGTGTGTGTAGGTGTGTAAGAAACGTTCTTAATAATCATGCCAAAGGAAAAAGAAATAAACATCACCAATAATTTTTTTAAATGCTGAGATTAAAAATGACACTTTGCCTCTAATAGAAAAAAAAGTACTACATACAATTCTAACATACCTGAAACTCATGATGAACTTTATGAATATATTTATATATTTTCTTGTGGTGTAAGAGCCTATGTAGGAAATAGTGCCAGGTATCCTCAATCACTGCACAACCAAAGCATCTTGCCAGAAGCATATACCTTTAAGATGAAAATACTGTTATGAGTGTGAAGTACAATCTAGACCAGTGGTTCTCAACCTGTGGGTTGCGACCCCTCTGGGGGTTGAACGACCCTTTCACAGGGGTCGCCTAATACCATTGGAAAGCACATATTTCCAATGGCGATTCATAACAGAAGCAAAATTAGTTATGAAGTAGCAATGAAAATAATTTTATGGTTGGGGGTCACCACAACATGAGGAACTATATTAAAGGGTCACAGCATTAGGAAAGTTAAGAACCACTGATCTAGACTTTTACTTGCGATCAATGCTTGAGACATTACATAAAACCAAATACCTCTTACCAACTTGACCTAATTAGATATATTGATCAATACATTCTCAAAACTGCTGGATACAAGGTGGCTATTTTATACTACTCTCAACAAGAGTTGAACAGATTGACCACCATATCAATTCTAACTCATTAAAAAAAATAAATCACAGGTATAAAATCAGTTAAGAAACAAAATTCAAAACCTCTAGGAAAAGAGCAATATTGATGAAAAACTTATATTAATATTAATAATAGTAACATCATCACTTTCTTCCCACCAAAGAGAAAAACATAATTGCAATGAACAAAAATATTTTGTATATAGATATATTTTGTATATAAACAAACACATATACAGAAACCCTTTTACGTGTTAAATATACATTATATAGAAAAGTACATATCTGTACATTGGTATATTTGTATTCAGTTATGTCAGGAACATATGGTTGAATACAAATATTACTGGAACACAAATACCTGTGCTCAGATATTACATATTTGTGTTTACACAGACATAATTTTTATAAACCTCAAACTATTCTCAATATTTTCATTCATTTTAGACTTAAAATGTAATATTTTTTTCTTCGTATAAGCACCTTCCAATAAAGTATTACACTAAAACACTAGAAAGATCTAAAAATGGGAACTTTTTAAGTTTCTACTATGATTTATTTTTCTACATTTTATTTACTTCCAAAGTTTAAAACAAACAAACAATAACCAAGTAAAGAAAAAGAGAAACATTAAGGGTATTTTCATTGGACAGCAAACCATGACTGAGTACAAAATTCAAATCTTTATTTATTAATGATTTGTTTATAGCTACATACCATCTTGGCATTGTTTCCCATCCATAAGGAATATTGAAATATTCTGTAAAATAATAAGTTCCACAAATCAAAGGAAGCTGGATACAAAAGTGATTAAAGAGAAGTACTTTAAAGCATTTCCATTGGTTTTCCCATGTTTCTGGTTTATCCTATGGAAAAAAAAACCACACAGTATTTAGTATGAGTCTCTGTTAATCAGTAGGTTAGCCTGGTATCCAGAATAAATTCCTAATTTTTTCTCTAATGTTTAATGAGACCTGAATTCTATGTTACTTAATTAATTCTGTTTTGTGAATTTTCTATTAGTTACTACATTACAGTAAGTAAAACCTAGGAATCACAACATCCTTCCCTCTAAATTCTTGACAACCAGCATCACCAATTTAGATGAAAAATGTTAATAGACAAATCCAGGAATAACAAACATAAGATCTCAAACAAAAGAAGCACCACAGAATGAATAGCTCTCCAGTCTTTGCTGCCAACAGATCATTCACTTCTTTTATCAGGAATGTCAGAGAAGAAACATGTTATGTGAAGATTATGGTTGGGTCTCCCAACTATTGAAGTGGTTGTATCAGTAGTATTGAAAGCCTTTATTACACAGGTAAGTTAATGCTTCCAGACATATGGCAGTATTCATTCCCAGAAACCAGTGCATTTTTGTTCATATATAGTAACAGAATTATACATTTCTTGAGCTGGAAGAACTTCAGAGATGTGTCCAGTGGTTTCCAAAGAATGGAGAGCAACCACCCACAGATGTTCAAAGATTAAAGTAAAAATGAGCAAAGTGAGATCAATGTAGTAAAATGTTCATTTAAATCTCATCAGGATACCTACTAGCCTAGCAAGCCATATTTTAAAAACACGCAATTTATTCAATTTAAAGGGCTATACTTACAAAGAAAAAATTGTTTTTGGTTTTATAAAAAGATGAGGATAATAAATAGTTATTGCTTTCTTTTAAATGTCCTTACTTAAAAATTCAGAAATCTGCCAATGAAATTTTTAAAATCTGAACCACAATATCTCAAGTATAGGAACTACTGCTCAGCAGAAGCCCAAAGAGGTCCACTGTCTTGAGCAGGATGACACAGGCAATTATTAGCAGAACTGGGACCAACTAAACCTAGGTTTCCAGTTATCGTCCCCGATCACCCCCTGCCCCAAAAGGGGGAAAAGCATTAAACCGAGAATCAATCCAGAGAGCTGGGTGGTCTCTACTCTCAGGGCCACACTAAACAGCTCCATGATATAAATCAGTTTTTTCAACAATAAAATGAGGAAATTAGATTTGGATCATTTATAATTGTTTTTCTGTTTCTATTCTGAGCGTTATCACCATACTCCTCCAAACCTCCAGTCTGTGATTGGGGACAAAATAAATGGAAGACTCTAGCTTGAGCCAGCACTGGCACTGTTTCCCATAGAAACTATGTTTATCAGACTTTTAATATCCCGGCTAGAATCTGATACCTATGTAGTATAGAAAATAGCACAAAAATTAATCAACTATAATAAAATCACACACCATACTTTTAAAAGTGTACACAAATTAAAGATAGTTAACAATAAAAAACTCACACCTACTGGAATATCAGTTTACTATATTTTCCTTTATATATAACTATATTCTAATATAAAGGAATACCATTAGGCCATGGACTTCAGAAAGAATGTTTTTAGTATATATATCCTTGAGGAAAATTCCTAGAGAATTATTAAAATATGTGACTTTGTAAAAAGAAATAGCTCCTACAAGGTCTACTTTATTACTTCCTCATTCCTGTAAAATGTCCCTAATACTGCTGTACTGCCTGTCCTCTTTGACAGAAGAAAGTCTTTAGTGCTCTCTCACCACCAACAGCAACTTCTTCCTATACCTTCAATGTTTCAGAGTACCTGCCTTCAAAATTCATAAACCTGTAGTTAACTTGCAGTGCTAATTTTTTTACTTGTTTTTAAATCCTGGTATATTGTGAAAACGTGTACTAATTTATCATCAAAATGTATTTTAGTATCAAAACAGTCAAAGCAAAACCTTTACGCCTTGAGGCCACAAGACCCAGCCTTTTAATCTCTGCTTATAAATAATTCCAGTAATCAACTAGATTACTGCTTGTCCTCTCTTTGGCCATACTTTATTTTCAAGCCAACCATAAAACAATGACTGTAAAAGGTTTTCTTCTCTTTGGAAAAGTTAACACCTCTGACCAATGATTCAACTACAGAGGACAGAGGACGAAGATATTTTGGCCTGGCCAGCCATACAGTGAAAGTCAGCCATATAAGCAAAGCAATGGGTGACACAGGGCAGCTTGAATCACCCCAAACATGTTAGAACTTAGATATCCACTGAATTCTTCCATTTAAGGCAGCACCTTTTATAAAAAGCATTTTGGAATTTCTGTGTCCTCAATTTGGGTAACAGGATACTCTCCTTTGGGCCACATCCCTTTCTATTCCCTCCTCCTTTTCCCTTTGTTCTTTCCTTTGGCTTGGAGTCCACAGCACCTGACCCCCTGCAGTATCCCCAGAGAAGATCAATATCAGTACTGGCTTAAATACTGGGAGAGGCGATGAAGCTAAGAGACTGTGAGAGAGAATGTGTGCACTAACTGCCACCCAATGTAGACTCAGTGAGTGCAAATCAGTCTCCATAGATAAACACTCTCAAGACACCTACTTTCTACCAAGGTGGTGCATGCTCTTAAGCTTAGTTTGGCATGACATTTTTATTTTTGTTTTATGAGAGGGAGAAATATCCATTGGCTGTTCCACTTATTTATGCATTCATTGGTAACTTCTTTTTTTAAAAATTATTTTTCTTTAATCTTTATTGTTCAATGTATTACAGATGTTCCTCATTTTTTCCCCATTGACCCCCTCCTCTCCACTCCCACTCCCCCTTGCCTTTTCACACACTGCTGTCTGTGTCCATTGGTTATGCATATAAATTCTTTGGTTTATTTCTTCCCACCCCCAACCTCTTCTCTTTGAGGTTTATTAGTATAGCAACCAATTTGTACTTCTTAATCCCTTCACCTTTTCAACCCATTGCCTCAACCCCCGTCCCACCTGGCAACCAATAAATGTTCTCTGTATCTATGAGAATGTTTATGTTCTGATTGTTCATTTTGTTTGTAGATTCAATTGTCGATAGATATGTATTCGTTGCCTTTTTGTTTGTTCATATTTTTTCTTTTTCTTAAAAAAACCCTTCAACATTTCATATAATAATGGTTTGGTGGTGATGAACTCCTTTAGCTATTCCTTGTCTGGGAAACTCTTTCTATGGCCATCGATTCCAAATGACAGCTTTGCAGGATAGAGTAATCTTGGTTGTAGGTTCTTGCTTTTCATCACTCTGAGTATTTCTTGTCACTCCCTTCTGGCCTGCACAGTTTCTTTTGAGAAATCAGCTGACAGTCTAATGAGAACTCCCTTGTAGGTAACCAACTGCCTTTCTCTTGCTGCTTTTAAGATTCTCTCTTTGTCTTGAACCTTTTGCATTTTGATGATGATGTGTCTTGGTGTGGGCCTCTTGGGATTCATCTTGTTTGGGACTCTCTGTGCTTCCTGGACTTGTATGTCTGTTTCCTTCACCAAGTTAGGAAAGTTTCTGCCATTATTGCTTCAAATAGGTTTTCGATTTCTTGTTCTCTCTCTTCTCCTTCTGGCACCCCCAAGATGCGAATGTTGGCACGCTTGAAGTTGTCCCAGAGGCACCTTACACTCTCCTCATTTTTTGGATTCTTTTTCTTTTTGCTGTTCTGATTGGGCATTTTTTGCTTCCTTATATTCCAAATCGATGGTTTGCTTCTTGGCTTTACCTACTCTACTACTGAATCTATGTAAATTATTCTTTACTTCAGCTAGTGCCTCCTTCATTTCTGACTGGTCCTTTTTTATGCTCTTGAGGCCCTCACTAAGTTCACTGAGGTTCTCACTAAGTTCATTGAGCATCCTTATAAGCAGTATTTTGAACTCAGCATCTGTTAGGTTGCTTATCTCCATTTCCTGGAGATATTTTCTGTTCTTTCATTTGGGACCTGTTTGTCTCCTCATTATGGATGCCTCCCTGTGTTTGTTTCTATGTATTACTTAACAAGAGGTATGGGGCTAGCTGAGACCAGATGCTGCTTGTTTGAAAGAATTTAGGAAAACTTGAAGCAGGATCCAAGACAGGCCAATCCTATGGTTAAGCAACTGGCAACAGCTTGGGTGGCCCTGAAAGTTGGGTGGGGCGGGGCCTCAGGAAATCACCAGGGCAGGGCAACCAGTATGAGCCAGGTTGCTGGAGTCCCAGATATGGCTTCTGTCTGCCGCCCACAGGAAGAGCTCACAAAACAAAGGCCTCTGACAGCACGTTTGTCCCGGAAAAGCCCCCTCTCCAGAGCCAAACAGCTCAGTTCTTCCCTGTATGTCTCTGGCGCCCCTCTAGCTGTCTCCCCTCCAAGCTTAGAAGGAGTGAGTACGATAAGTCCGTGCGCGGGCCCTTTAAAAGGCTGCCTGGGGCTCCAGCTGCCTCAGCGTCCCTGAGCCTTAGTTCCTGCTGGTTTTTCCAGCCAGAAGTTATGGGGGCTTCTCTTCTTGGCATTGGCACCCTGAACAGGGCGCCTGGTGTGGTATGGGGACCTCTCAGTCCTCAGGGAGGACCTTCCCAGCCGAGGTGTCCTCCTGATTTTTATTCACCACACGTGGGTGTGGGACCAGCCCCTCCGCCTCCGCCCCTCCTACCAGTCTTGATGTGATTGCTTCTTTAATTCTGTAGTTGTAGGACTTCCATCAGTATGACTTCAGGCGGTTCTGAATGATGGTTGTTCTGTAGTTTAGTTGTAACTTTGAAGTGGTTGTGGGAGGATGCAATACCGCATTTACCTACCCGCCATCTTGACTCGATGTACAATGGTAACTTCTCGTACGTGCTCTGACCAGAGATCAAACCCACAACTTTGGCATTATTGGCATGACACTCTAACCAACTGAATTACCTGGCCAGGGCCTGGCATGACTTTTAAGAAAAATAAACACTAAGCATTAGAAACTATCATGGGTTCACCAAGTGCTGATAAATCCACTCTCTCAAATAAACTAGTCCAGTTCTTTCCTGAGTAACTCATGAGTAGACATCATCATTTTCCCTACGTGCAGATATCAACACCTTATGCACAGTGGGCTCTCAAAAAACAGTGTATTGACAGAAACACCTAGATATGAAGAGCATCATCACCTCCTTATTTGGAATGACATGAATGCTGCAAACTACCACCTTATATTTAGAGGAAAAACACAATTTGAATAGTCCTGCTCCAGATCTTAGAATATTAACATATACTTAGGGACTGAAATATCAGGAGCTAGAGTGAACTACAAAAATAATACCCACAAATCCCCATAACTTTCCAGCTAGTTTAAAAATTAAATTTGTAAATCCAAATTAGAGAAACAGCACATCTACTTAAAGCACAACTTAACAAATTAATCTGGAAACATTATCAATGATGATCTAAGGCTGTGTTGTCCATTGTGGTAGCAACCAGCAACAGGTGACTACTGAACACTTTAAATATGGCTAATCTAAATTGAGATAGACTAAAATTAGTGTAAAACACATACTTAATTTTAAAGACTTGCGATGAGAATAACATAAAATACCTCATTAAGTACTTTTAAATTCTAATTACTTATTGAAATAGTAATGGTTTAGATTTAATGTGTTAAGTAAAATATATTTTAAAATTAATTTTCCTATTTGTTTTTACCTTTTTATGGATTCTACTAGAAAATTTAAAATTACATATGTGGCTTAATTATATTTCTACTGACAGCCCTGATCTAGAGTCTCTCAAAACAAAGTTACATTACTTGAACAATATTCAACACTAATGACAATATTCCACTGCATGTCCATCATACTCACCTTTTGAATTTTGTACTTTTTCATGTAAGGTATAAATTGAAACAAAAACCCAGGTAAACAGAACAAGAAATAAATTGTCTCGTGAACTATTAGGGATCCCCATGTTGCAATCTGGAACTTTGTATAATTGTCCAACATATACGTCCAAGCATTCTTAAATGATTCTTGCAGAGGATTCTCAGGTAAAAGTGAATCCACATACTCCACAGCCAAGTATGCTGAATTAAAGATGCTGACACTTTCATTTGTTGCCATTTTCCAAGTCTCTGCACACAGCTTTATAATTCTGTAAATATAAATAAATACATAAATAAGCAAGAAGCAAGCTAAACAGGAAATTCTAACAGTTTTAAAAATGCATCTTCGATAATTTTAAAAGTAACAATTACTAAAGCAACACCAATTTCTCAAGTCCTAAACATGGAGTTAAAAAAAAAGTTCATTGGACATCATCATCACCTCCATTTGTAGATAATGATTTAAAAGCCACATGTTGACTTCCAGTCAGGATGGCGGGTAGGTAAACGCAGTATCGCGTCCTCCCACAACCACATAAAAGTTACAACTAAACTACAGAACAACCATTATTCAAAACCGCCTGAAATCAAGCTGAATGGAAGTCCTACAACTACGGAATTAAAGCACCAGCCACATCCAGACTGGTAGGAGGGGCGGAGGCGGAGGGGCTGGTCCCACACCCACGTGTGGCGGATAAAAATCAGGAGGATACCTCGGCTGGGAAGGTCCTTCCTGAGGACTGAGGGGTCCCTATCCCACACCAGGCACCCTGCTCAGGCATCCAGTGCCAGGAAGAGAGTCCCCATAACTTCTGGCTGGAAAAACCAGCGGGAACTGAGGCTCAGGGAAGCTGAAGCGGCTGGAGCCCCAGGCAGCTCCTTAAAGGGCCCGCGCACGGACTTATCGGACTCTCTCCCTCTAAGCTCGGAGGGGAGGCAGCTCGAGGGTCGCCAGAGACACACAGGGAAGAACTGAGCTGTTTGGCATTGGAGCGAGGGCTGGAGAGGGGGCTTTCTCCGGGACAAACATGCTGTCAGAGGCCTTTATTCCTTTGGTGAGCCCTGCCCTGGGGCGGCAGACAGCCACCATATCTGGGACTCCAGCAACCTAGCTCACACTGGTCGCCCTGCCCTGGTGATTCCCTGCGGTCCCGCCCCACCCCACCCAACCCAACTTTCAGGCCCACCCAAGCTGTTGCCACTTGCTTAACCATAGGATTGGCCTGTCTTGGATCCTGCTTCAGGTTTTTCCTAAATTCTTTCAAACGAGCAGCATCTGGTCTCAGCTAGCCCCATACCTCTCATTAAGTAATACACAGAAACAAACGCAGGGAGGCAGCCAAAATAAGGAGACAAAGAAACAGGTCCCAAATGAAAGAACAGAACAAAACCCTAGGAAAAGAACTAAGCGAAATGGAGATAAGCAACCTAACAGATGCCGAGTTCAAAATACTGCTTATAAGGATGCTCAATGAACTTAGTGAGAACCTCAGTGAACTTAGTGAGGGCCTCAAGAGCATAAAAAAGGACCAGTCAGAAATCATGGACACACAGTCAGAGATGAAGGAGGCATTAACTGAAATAAAGAATAATTTACACAGCTTCAATAATAGAGTACGTAAATCCAAGGAGCAAACCATCGATTTGGAATATGAGGAAGCAAAAAATGCCCAATCAGAACAGCAAAAAGAAAAAAGAATCCACAAAAATGAGCATAGTGTAAGGAACCTTTGGGACAACTTCAAGCGTGCCAACATTCGCTTCTTGGGGGTGCCAGAAGGAGAAGAGAGAGAACAAGAAATCGAAAACCTATTTGAAGCAATAATGGCAGAAAACTTTCCTAACTTGGTGAAGGAAACAGACATACAAGTCCAGGAAGCACAGAGAGTCCCAAACAAGATGAATCCCAAGAGGCCCACACCAAGACACATCATCATCAAAATGCAAAAGGTTCAAGACAAAGAGAGAATCTTAAAAGCAGCAAGAGAAAGGCAGTTGGTTACCTACGAGGGAGTTCCCATAAGGCTGTCAGCTGATTTCTCAAAAGAAACTGTGCAGGCCAGAAGGGAGTGGCAAGAAATATTCAGAGTGATGAAAAGCAAGTACCTACAACCAAGATTACTCTATCCTGCAAAGCTGTCATTTGGAATCGATGGCCATATAAAGACTTTCCCAGACAAGAAAAAGTTAAAGGAGTTCATCACCACCAAACAGTTATTATATGAAATGATGAAGGGTCTTTTTGAAGAAAAAGATAAAATATATGAACAAGCAAAATGGCAATGAATACATATCTATCAACAATGGAATCTACAAACAAAATGAACAATCAGAACAGAAACATTCTCATAGATACAGAGAACATTTTGTTGGTTGCCAGTTGGGAGGGGGTTGGGGGAATGGGTGAAAAAGGTGAAGAGATTAAGAAGTACAAATTCATTGCTAGACTGACAAACCTCAAAGGGAAAGGGGTTGGGGGGGGTGGAAAGAAATAAACCAAAGAATTTATATGCATAACCAATGGACACAGACAATAGTGTGGGAAAAGGCGGGAGGGGGGCGGGAGTGGGGAGGAGGGGGTCGATGGGGGAAAAATGTGGAACATCTGTAACACATTTTACATTCAACAATAAAGATTTTAAAAAAATAAATAAAAATTAAAAAAAAAAAAAAAGCCACATGTTGCTCTGGCTGATATGGACCAGTTGGTTGAGGGTCATCTCATGTACAAAAGGTCACTGGTTCAGCCTATGGGTTTGGTCCCCCAGGGTATGTATGGGAGGCAACTGATCGATGTTTCTCTTAGAACATCAAGGTTTCTCTTTCTCCTTTCCTCTCCTGTAACATCAATAAAAACATTTAAAAAATTTTAAAAATTATAAATGAAAAGCCACATGTTAACTTTCAGGAGCAGGATCAAAGAGAATATCAGTGGGTAACGAATTTCAAGGTATCATTATAGAAACTTTTCATGAGATCAATAACACATCTGACAAAGTTGAACCAACACCAGCTACTAACTGTGTGACTTTGAGCAAGTTATGTAACTTCTCTGAACCTTAGTTTTGTCATCTGCAAAATATAAAGTTACTAAAGAGTGGGAATCTTTTCCCAATGTCAAATCACCATTATGTACACTTTGAATGTCTTATAATTTGCCCTGGTCTGTGTGGGTCAGTGGTTAGAGCATCAGCCCAAGCACCAAAACCATCAATGTGTCTCTAACACTCTAACATCCATGTTTCTGTCTCTCCCTCCCCAATACCCTGGTTCCCTCCCTTCCATGTTCTCTAAAAATCAATAGAAAAAAATATTTTCGGGTGAGGATTTATTTTAATTATTTTTTTCTTTATTGATTTTAGTGAGAGGAAGGGAGAAGAAGAGAGAAAGAAACATCAATGAGAGAGAACGATTGGCTGCCTCCTGCATGTTCCCCACTGGGGATTGGGCCCACAACCTGGGCATTTGGGTGAGGATTTAAACAAACAAACAAATAAATATCTTATAATTTTATATATCAATTACACCTCAGTAAACTGAAAAAGAAAAAAAAGAGTAACAATAGTTCTTACAGTGAGTCCAAGAAAGAATGCATGTGAAGCACTTAGTACAGGACCTGACATACAGTAATTCAATTTACCCAAGCCTCCTGAAAGAGTTTTCTATACAGGCTGTTTTCCTTTTCCCGTTTCCCATTTATTCTCCAGCAACTACAAACCACTTTCTATTCTCATCACTATACTGACCTTACTCTTACTAACATCACTAAAGATATCCTAGCTGCCAAATCCAACAAACATTCTGTTGAGTTTATTTTATTTAACCAAGCTGGAAGAGTTGATACTTCTCTCCTTGAAATACTTTCCTTCCTTGCTTCTTGGAAGTCCCATGTATTCACTCTGACTTAATTTGCGCTACCAGATGCAACCACTGGGCTAGCGTCTGCCTTCACCCCGATCACAAAACATAAAATCTAGTGAGGAATACAAGAAAGTAACCAGACTAGCATACAAGTATGTGATAAGGACAATAAAGGGTTGGAAACACAGAGTGCTATGATATGAGAACACAGAGGACCAGAAAAGGTTTAGACTCAACCAGAACAGGAGAAAGAATACAGCACTTTCTGATTTAGTGTATCTGTGGTACAACTTCTGAGAAAGGAAGACTTCACAATTGAAGGTGGAAAGTTTTCCAGTGATGTTTTCCTTACTCCTTTCTAGTAGTACTCTGGCAATTCCAGATTACCTTGGGTGTTCTCAACTATTTCCTGTTTTTAAAATCTGTTAATATCCAAGCAATCTATAGATTCAATGCAATCCCCATCAAAATACCAACAACATCCTTCACAAAACTAGAACAAATACTTCAAAATTTCATATGGAACCAAAAAAAGACCTCAAATAGCCACAGCAATCTTGAAAAAGAACAAAGTTGGAGGGATTACATTACCAGATTTCAGGTTATACTACAAAGCCACTGTAATCAAAACAGCCTGATACTGGCACAAGAACAGGCATATAGATCAGTGGAACAGAACAGAGAACCCAGAAATGAACCCAAGGCAATATGCCCAATTAATGTTTCACAAAGGGGGCAAGAGCATACAGTGTAGTCAAGACAGCCTCTTTAATAAATGGTGTTGGGACCCCATTTATTGGACAGCTACGTGCCAAAAAATGAAACTAGATATCAACTTACACCATCAACTCAAGAATAAACTCAGAATGAATAAAAGACTTAAATGTGACTCATGAATATATAAAAATCCTAGAAGAAACTGTAGGCAACAAAATTTCGGACATCATATGCAGCAGAATTTTCACTGATACATCACCTAAGGCAACAGAAACAAAGGAGAAAATGAACACATGGGACTACATCAAACTAAAAACCTTCTGCACAGCAAAAGAAACAAGCATCAAAAGGGAAAGGGAACCCACTATATGGGAGAGCATAATTGCCAATGATATATCAGATAAGCGGTTAATTTCCAATATATAGAGAGTGCTCATACAACTCACCAAAAGAAAGACAAAGAACCCAATTAAAAAATGGGCAGAGGAACTAAATAGACACCTCTCCAAATAGGACATACAAATGGCTAAGAGATATATGAAGAAATGCTCAACATCACTAATCATCAGAGAGATGCAAATTAAAACAACAATGAGGTATCACCTCACACCTGTCAGAATGGCCGCCATCAACAAATCATCAAACAACAAGTGTTGGCGAGGGTGTGGAGAAAAGGGGACTCTAGTACACTGCTGGTGGGAATGCAGACTGGTGCAGCCACTATGGAAAACAATATGGTGTTACCTCAAAAAATTAAAAATTGAATTGCCATGTGACCCTGTGATCCCACTTCTAGGAATATACCCTAAGAAGCCTGAAACACCAATCAGAAAGAATATATGTACCCCCATTTCGTAACAGCACTATTTACAATAGCTAAGGTCTGGAAACAGCCCAAATGTGCATCAGTAGACAAATGGATAAAAAAGCTGTAGTACATATACACAATGAAGTACTATGCAGCTGTAAAAAAAAGAAAGATCTCTTATCCTTTGAAAGTACATGGAGGGACCTGGAAAGTATCATCCTAAGTGAAACAAGCCAAACAGAGAAAGACAAGTTTCATATGATCTCACTTATTTGTGGAATATAATGAACATAACAGTCTGAGGAATGGGGTAGTCCCAGAGACGTGGAAGTGGGGTACGGACTGACAATCCTCAGAAGAGGGAGTGGTGGGGGAGAGAGAAACCACAGAACTTATATGCATGTATGCATGAACAATGGACATGGACAACAAAGCTGGGAACAAAGCTGGGGACGGGGGGGGGGATCAGTGGGGGGAAAAGGAGAAACATCTGTAACAAAAATAAATTAATTAATTAAAAAAAAAAAAAAAGAAAATTTGTTAATATCCAAAATCTCCACTTCCAGCCCTCTCCCCCTAAAATTCAGGTCCTAATTATCCAAAAATTTACTGGCTAGCTCCAGTTGGACAGTTCAGAGGCACATAAAACTCAACATATCCTAAAGTTCAGCAACTACCCCTCACAGCCCTGCCCAAATATACCCTACCTCCTTTAACACCTAGTTTTTGAATTGTACATTCACCTATTTGGTCATCTCAGACAGAATGTTCTAAGTCTCTCCCATCTCTGCTAACAAGGTAAAGTCCACTCAATATAGAGATACCTGGTTTAACTAACATTCAGGAGTTTACTCTCCATATACAAGAGGAAAATGGGCAAATTGCTGTCAACTGAACAAAAGCAAAAAAAATAGAAAATAAAAAGGAAAGGGGAGAGGTCGTAGTGACTTTTCTTTTTCTTTTGTTCTCCTTGGACAACCTGATTGACTGAAAACCTGCTCTGCAACAGGTTGACTAGGCCCTCAGAAAAAAGAAATTTAGTTATTTGTGGGTTCTTTGAGAAACCTTGAAGTTTAGCTGTCTCAGTACTGTCAGCCGATGTCGAACCCTTTACCTTGGTTAAGCCCAGATCATCTGGACTTGCCACGCCTCGAGCTTGCCCTTTTAAACCCGCCGTCTAGGGCACAATGACAGGAGATATCTAAACAGTAGAGTTCACCCTCTTAAAACCCTTAAAGTTCAAGAAAGTGCCTCCCCTATATAGAAAGACCAAGGCCTTCGGCTATGCCAAAATAAAAAAGGCCCTGCCGGGAGTCTCCACTCTTTACCTCTCATCCTCTCCATCCTCCACTTCAAACTCATAAAATACCTGACTTCTCATTGTTCCTGTGCTCAACCTCTCTACGTCCACGGAAATATCCTGTTTCCAGTGATGTCCTCCTATGCAACTCCTATGCATCCATCAGTAACCTTCGCTTAGACGCCCCTTCCACCCCCACTATCCCCATCGCACATACACCACAGATCTAATCTCCCCGGCAATGCTTCTGTTTTGTAAAACTTCCACCCTGTGCTGTAACTATCGGCCCTATTGTCTAAGATGTCCGGTCTCCAGATGGCTGTAAACTCTTCAAGAGCAAGAAAGAAGTCCCGGCCCAGCTCGATCACTGAAGTTTCACACCATTTTCCTCCCGCCCCTCGCCGCCCTCCCGCTGGGTAAGGATGCCCCATCGGCCCTGAGCGCGCATGCCCCCAGCCTCGCTCGCCTCAGTCCCGCGGAGCACGAGGCCCGAGCCCACAAGCTCCGGCTCCCTCACCTCCGAGCCGCTCCTCCGGTCCGCTCACCTGGACGCCCGCACGAAGACTGCCGCTCGCGTCACCCAAACCCTGCCAGGTGCCGCGCCCCAGGAGCCCGCCTCTCCGGGCTGGGAAGTTGTGAAGCCGGCTTCTATAGGTTTCGGCTTGCGCGGTCTCCCGCCCCGCCTTCTCTGCGCTGTGATTGGTCTGTACGGTTGCCGGCATCGTGCGACTCGCGCAAACGGATCACCGGCGGTGCCAGCCATAGGCTCCCTGGATGGAGTGAGGATAGTGAGACCGAGACGCCCAGTCAGTGATTGGCGCTGCAGCGCGCCTGGAGGCGGGGCAGCGCGATGGAGCGTGACGTCATGAGGGGGCGGAGCACGACGCCGCTACGTGCGGGCCGCGAGGAGTCGTCGCCTTGGCAACTTGGGGGTTCCTTGGATTTTAGCTGGAGCCGGCACTGTCCCGGGGAGAGCGTACCAGACCACGGTCCCTGCGGCTTTAAAACGTAAACTTTGCAGCAGCTACATGGCCAAAACCCAGAGAGAGAATAGTATGAGTTTTAAAATCTGTTTTGACTGTTTTTGTTTACAGACAGCCTCGCCTTCCTCTGGACTACCCTGGATTTAGGTCATTCTTCCTTGTGTCCCCAGCCCAACCAGGTCTCCTTCTTCAGGACTGAAGCAGGTATGCAGCTGCTGAGTGTTAGCGAAGAGAGTCACCTGTCCCCACGGGCACACCCCCTTTCCAGAGCAGCCTGAGTTCAGTGACTGGTTGAGGTGGTAATAATATCAAGGCGCAGCCCCGTCCCCAATTTAGGATACTTTGCTCCGCCAACCCATCTCCACAGCTTCCCCTCCTACTGACTGGGGTTGTGGGTGTGATTGCACTCTGCCCAAACCTGGTGCTGTCTGTCAAGTAGTGTTAAAGGCATGTACTACGGGGTCAGACTTACGAGGTTTTGTCACTTATTAGCAGTGTGCTCCAGGTTAAGCTACTGTTCAAAGTCTTATCTAGTACTTCTGTAAAATGGGTATTATAATACATCTCAAAGAGTGTGTTATAACAATTAAATGAGATCATGTATTAAGGCCCTTTGCACAGTATCTGGAATACAAGAAGTGCTCGGTAAATGCTGGTTATTATTTCTGGCTTAGAATCCTACCAAGTTAGATTATATTTTCTAAATCAGAGCAGGTATATTATGTGGAGGGGTCAAATTATTTTGAGTCTTGGAGATTTAACTCTGAAAGGAAATACATATATGGCTGCTCAACTCACTTATTTCCTACAATGAAGAAATAGGAGATTCGGAGAAGAGCAACAATAGAAGTAATTTAGGGAGGGTCCTTTGTATTTCAAGCACATTAATAGACATATCTTTCAAAATCCACAGTAACCTTGTGACATTCCCACTACTTTTGCTGTTTTACAGAGAAGCCAGAATAAGGGTAGGAGGTTAGGTAAGGTGTCTAAAGTGAAGTGTTAGAGAGGGATTCGGACTCATCCATCTGATTTCTATGCCCATGTGCTTTCCAATAGGTCACACTGCTTTTCTTCCCTTAGAGTCCTGAAGCCAGGATTAGAACCCTATAATCTTGTTCCAAAGTGTGACTCCACTCTTCCATGTAGCCTCCTCTCCAAAATGAGACACTGGCAGCCATACAAGTCAATAGGAGGCAAGTTGATGACCAAACTAAAATAAGAGGCAGACTTAATAGCATATTACTATGATTATGCTATGCTTTTACCTAACAAAAGAAGAAGTCTCATAACTCATCAACTGAGATGATAAATACTTGGGTGCTATGTTATATCTATAAGGGGTGATAATAAATAGCAGGAATCATATGTCAGAGTCCATAAAAATGGGAAGAGACCTGAAAGTGTCCAGGCAGTATACACACTATCCACCTTACCGCTCTCCATTACTGCCTTCAGCCAAGAAAGCATAGATCCAAGTAAAGCAGGGAGTAGAGTTACTTCATGATGCAGGTACTTGGATCTAACTTTGAACTCTGCTCAAACCAGGTGCTGTTTCCTTAGCAAGATGTCTAAAGACTCTCTACCTAATTTCTGACCTGTTTTATGCAATAACAGAACAAGCCAGGAATGCTTTTAAGTACCTTAAAAACAAAACAAAACACACCTAAGATGTTTCAAACTGGAAAGACAAAAGTGGGTGTCAGGAAGGGGGCATATTCAAAGCCCTTGAAATCATAGTTATGAATTCAGCTACTGACAAGTCTTCGAAAAACTATCCTCTAGCTATTAAAGCTTCAAAGAAAAAATAAGAGATATTTGACATGCTAAGTATTTAAGACATTTTTACCCTAATAGATTCTATTTTAAGAAAAGCTTAAACTTTTCTAGATAAATCTTTGATAGGTTAATGGAGTTTCATGGAACATTTGCGTTTTGGAAGTGCTCAGGAGGATAACACAACACATTTTTCTTGGGGCCACTATCACAAACAACTAGCAGTGCTCCAAGTTTATGTTTGTTGACAATGGACGTGCTTGGAGTCACACCATGGCAGAAATTCATGTTTACGTAAGATGAACACAGGCTTTTTTCTTTTTCTGATTAAATTGTTCATATTTCCACTTAGAATGGAAAATTCAACTAAATATTAAATATGGTACTATGTTAACAGAAAATAAATTAGTGGTTTTGGGAAAATAGGGAGTGAATGCTAATGGGCATGGGGTTTCTTTGAGGGATGATGAAAATATTCTAATACTAATTTTGATGAATGCATTTCTGTAAATACATAACCCACTTAACTGTATAACTTATTTTTAATGTTAATCCTCAACTGAGGATATTTTTCCATTGATTTTTAGATAGAATGGAAGGAGGGAGGGAAAGAGAGAAATATTGACATGAAAGAGACACATCAATTGGTTGTCTCCCGCACAACCCTGACAGAGGCCGTGGATCAAACCTGCAACCCAGGTGCCCTTGACTGGGAATCAAACCCTAGATTCTTTGGTCCTCAGGCTGATGTTCTAAAGACTAAGCCAAACCAGCCAGAGCTAAACTATACACCTTAAATGGGTGAATTGTATGGTATGTGAATTGTATCTTAATGAAGCTATGTAAAGAAAAAAAGTATAATGGTACAAAAGAAAATTGGAGTTAAAAAACTAATGTACTGTATTTGAGGTGGTAGGATCATGAGTGACTAAATTCGACTCCCCTGTATTTTCCAGTTGTTACATTATGTGTTACTTTTATAAGGAGAAAATAAACCTGTTTTAGAAGCAAAAAAACCCCACCTCAGATAATTTAGTTGACTTATTGAATTATTTAGTATTTTCTAAGTGCTGCAGAAATTTGTATATGGAAAATGAAGATTTGGGTCTTGGCATACTTGATATTGGATTAATTTCTGAAGCAATTGATCAACAGGTTGTTGCTTCTTGAGGTCTCAGGTCATTAAGAGAGGGGAGGATTCTCATGGATTGTGCCAGGATGTAGCTCAGGAATAGCTTAGGTATGGTTAAAGGTGAGGGAACTTTGGCAACAGTCATGTTAAATCCCTTTGAGGGTTAGAATATGTTCTGTGAAGTGCTCACCCCTCCCTACTCCAAATACCTCAGCAGTGGACTGAGTGTTTATGTCTCCTCCAAATCCAACATAGGAATTTGGAGGAGAAATAATCCCCAAGGTAATAATATGAGGAAGTGGGGCCTTTAGGCGGGTGATCAGGTCAGGAAGGAAGAGCCCTCATGAATGGGGTTAGTGCTCTTAAAAAAGAGACCACAGAGAGATCCATTAGCCATGTGAAGACACACAGCGAAAAGACGGTTTATGAACCAGGAAGCGGATTCTCACTAGACACTGAATCTGCTGAGGCCTTGATCTTGAAATTCTCAGCTTCCAGAACTGTGAGAAATAAAATTTCTGTTATAAAAAGTAAATAAAGTTCTATGTTTAAATGTGAATACTCTATATTAAATGTATAGAAATTGTAGCATAGGTATAATTCTTTCCTTCCAACTGTTCTGGCAACAGCTCATGCTAACCTTTTCAATTCCTCTCCTGAGGAACAGCTACCATATCCCATTACCTACTGTCCTTCTCCTTCCCTTCTGATCCCTTCTAGTGTCCAGCTCCTCAGAGGTCCACCCCACTCCCCAACTCCCACTTCCTTAGTTCCTTTTATTTTGTATCAAAATTATAATTTATTTCTCAGTTGCTTTAGAGTAGATACTTACTTCTTTGACTTTTTGGTCCAATGCTATTTGTGTTATCTTTATCTTGTGTCCTGCCCATATTAGGGACAGAGGAATATAAAAACTTTAAATTTCACTAATCCTAGGAGACTTTTCTTTGATAGCTGAGGTAATTTTTTCTTGGAGAACAATTGTCAGTGACTTCAGTTACTGATATAACAGACTTGCCTTAGAGACTATTTTGGCAGCAAATTAAATTTGTGAAGTTAGAAAATGCAAATTTTACAAAAGGAACAGAAAAACTGAATAGGCAACTTTCTTAATATCAAATTAAATAGATAAAAATCAAGGACAATGTAAAACAAATAATATACAAACTTTTATTCAAAGATGAATCCAGAAAGACATGTTTTGGTCATTTTTAAAGTGAGATTAATTGAAGATCTCAGAAAAATTGTATCTGCTCAACGCACATGGCTACTCACAGAAAGTTCTCTCTTCTTCTGTTAATAGCATCTAAATTTATACACACAGATAAAGTTCTTAAGACCATGCAAATTCAGTTGAATTCCATACATTCATTATATTCATCAAAAACCTGCAGTAATGATCATGCCAAAGTGTTACTTTAAGGAAAAAATGTAAAAATACACACCAAAACATGACCAAGATTAAACCAAAGGAAATAATAAATAAGCATAATTTACATTTTATTTTTAAAAAGTTTGGCATCACACATATTCAAGTGTGTTACACCATGTTCATTCCTCAGAAGTGGCATTTTGAAGTGTTGAGCATTGTTAAATATCAAAAAATACAACTCTGTTTTACATGTAGTACTGGCATAATTCAAATTACTGTGCCAATTATAAATAGTATAATCAAGTTTCAAACATCTTTTCAAACATATTTAAAGGAAAGCATATAGACACACAGTTATATGCACACCATTTATTATACTCA